CGTGAGGGGGGCGGCCCTTCGCCTTTGCGCGACAGACAGACGACGCCTTCCCCCAGCCAAGTCGGGCGCACGCAAACCATCATGCGAACGCAACAAGTCCCCCCCCCTTCTTTTCAGTCTGGCACGAGCCTATTCATTAAACATACGCGCCTGAAAAAAAAACAGGAAAATAAAAAGATAGAGAACAGCAAGTGTCTGCCGAGTGGTGGTAACGACAACCGGATGGGAGCAGCGTCCCGCCAACAGCGCGCAGCGCGCTCGGTGCGCACGGCCCATCGCGCTCTGCAGCGCCCACCGCGCCGAGGACCTCGTCGAGGACCTCGCTGAGGACACACATAAGGGACAGGGGGGCGCGGGCCAGAGGACACGCCGGGATTTTCACATCTCCTGGGCTTGCGCGCCTCCATTCAGAGCACCTTCCGTTTCTTTCTTTTTTCTCTCCCCAGACAGGTCGGACCGCTACGCTAACGCCGCGCCGACAGACCGGCGGCTCCAATGAAGACATTTGTAGGCAAAGCCAATACACCGCGGCGACACTCCCAAGTGACCTGGCCAAGCAGCCTCGCCCGACAAAACGACGTCAAGGAACGACCGGCAGAACAACCGGGAGCAGCAGGCGGCAGGCTCGTGTGGATGGCGCCGTGGGGACTCGGGACGAAGCACGCGCATACTATTCCAACAAGGGGGTCGTCCGGAAAGTACGTCTGCTACTCGGCGTTACGGAACTGCCAAAGTTCAGCCCACGCAGGCTCCCATGGCGCCTGCGAGGTAGGCAACATCTTGCTTGCAGCGCCTGCGTGTACGGCGGGGTGGCCTAACGCGAGTCTCACAGGCGCCGAGCTGCCGCAATGCACCGAATGAATCTTGAGTAAAACGGACGTACTTTCTGGGCGATCCCTGGGCGTCACTGTCGATATGCAACAAACTACAACAAATGCAAGAGGTAGGTCTCTGAGGTGATCGTTGTACTTTTATACTGTAGTGCCCATCAGACTGCATTTTAAAGCAGGCTACTGTACACTGAGACCACACTAACTTCTCGACTGAAGAAGCACAGGCGGCATAGGAGTTTGTGGGCGAGAGGGGGTGAGGAAAATCGAGACCTTAGGCTGGTCTCACTATACTTTAGACCACAAACTTGTGTACCTACTCAGTAAGTACAATTCTTGCAGGCAAGTACCAGACTAGTTGCGGGCCGTGCTTTTTTTGTGGCAGTGACGTCAGGTGGCATGTGACGACGAGCTCGGGTGCTCGGGGAGCTCGGCTGTACATCAGGCGAACATTTCAGACCTCGAGAACGGATAACTACCTCAACTTATTTACCGTACCGATTTCTCGACGATTCACCCCCCCCCTCGACGAGGCTGTTTCGGGAACAATGTTCGCGACGTGTTGAGGAGCAGCCTGTGTGCACAAGGACCGCTGCCTCCACTGCGGCTCGGCAAGGACCGGCAAGGACAAGGACAGTCAATGGCGCGCGGAGGTCACAGCCCGCGGCGCCCCGAGCGCCGTGCACCCGGCCCCGCCAGGGCCCCACCAGGGCCCCGCCGGCACCCAAGGCGCTGATTGGGGTACAGCCCCGCCGTACTGCTGGCGATCCGCCAAGCCCCGCTCCCCCTCCAAATAGGACGATCGTCTTTGAAACGGACAGCCAGCGCGGAAAAAAAAATAACTGATTCGTCCAGACGAGACCAAGACCAGGCCAGGGCTGGCCCTCCTGCTAGCTCCTATCGACTGCCAATGGCCACGACTCTTGTCCTCCACTCGTCTGCCAGCGCCAGGCCGCGCCACGCCCGCAGGTCGGGAAGGGCTGACGCAGGTCCAGGCCGGCCCGCCAGCCCCGCCAGGATCATTGTTCCCTCTGACAGGCGCTTCTCGGTCCAGACGACGGGGCGGGGGTGGGTGAGTGGGGTGTGTGGGTGGCACGGGAGGGAGCGAGACGGAAGCAGGCGGCGGGGCGTGGCGGGGCGCCCCTGCAAGTGGGAGCGAGCTGGGGCGACGCCTCATCACTGAAATGGCTGCTGACCCAAATACGCTCGTGCGCCGCCATGAGCCGGCCTGATGGACCCCGCGCCGCAGCCGCCAGTGCGAGGCGCCATGGCGCCCGGCTACGCCAGGCCGCGCCCACTACAGGTCGCGCTCACCGCCTGGCCGTGCAGGTCCCTGCCGAGGAGCAGGTCCTACTCGACTTCCACTCTTTGGGTCCTGCAGGATGTCGGCCGGGCCGGGGCCCGGCCAGCAGCAGGACTTGTTGCTCGGCAGCAAGCTCAGCTCGGCCGTCGTGGTCCCCGCCGGTCCCCGCGGGGCTGCGAGCTGACCGCGGCGCCCATTAGGGGGGCGTCACGGGGCGGGGGGCGCTCCATCCGACTCGGCTCGGCGAGGGCGGCACGGGCGTGAGGCCGAGGCTAGAGCCGAGGCTACAGCCGAGGCGCCACCCGATCCATCACTGCTTCCTTTCTGTTTGTTTTCCCGGTTCTCCCGGCCCGTGCGGTACGTAGTGTGGAGCAGGAGCGAGGCAGGAGATGGAGAATGTGACGGGGGTTGCAAAGGGGTGGGGGTTGGGGGCAATGTCGCGGCCTGCCGCTGGCTCCGCTGCCCAGCGCTGCACTCCCGGCTGAAAACAAATTCTTTCCCTCCCCGTTTTAATGAGACGGCCCACAGACCAGAAAGGCGGACTGCAAAGGAAATGAATGCATTCCCAGCTGACGGCGCGGTGCGGCGGCGCGCGGCACGGTGCCACGGGGAGGGGGGGGGGAGGGGATGCAGGATGTGGAGGATCAGAGGGAGAGAGGGAGCATGGGAGAGAGGCGGGGCGGAGACGACAAGCCCCGCGGGGGACCGCTACAGACCGCTGGGGCCCAACGCCCACGGCTAGGCCAGCCGTGAGCCGAGCCAGGCCGAGCCGGGCCCACATGGGCACATATGCACTCCCCTCCCCCCCCCTTTACGCCTCACCCTTTCTTCCGCTTCTCCCCTGAGATCAAGACTTGCTGCCAAGGCGTAAACCCTTCCGCACCTCTAGCCGAGTGCGCCCCCGGCCAAGACCGTGTAGCGTGTTGTGATGTTGTGATAGGGGAACTGATCTAGAAAAGAAGAGGAGGGGGGGAGGGGCTGGGGAGTCCTGCTGGTGCTACACACTATACTGCCATCTGACGCACAAAGGGTCTGGGCGGGTGAAAAGGCACAACGCACAAGGGTAGCAATCAAATCAATATTTGGCTTATTTTCAAAAATATGTAACTCTACACTACACAAAATTATAGATTGAGAAATAAATTGATGTAAAATAAAATTGTACATTTTCCCCATCCCATATTTTCAACTCTGACGATGGCTACGGAGAGTTCCATTTTAACTACCGGTAGTCTTTGCTTAGTAATAAAAATTAATTGAGAAACCTCAGACTCACCTTCTAATTCCACCACCTTTCCAGCGCGTTTCAGGGCTTTCACTGCTTCATCGTGTGTTGCTTCTCGAAGATCTTCACCATTGACAGACAGTATGGCATCACCAACATACAATTGTTCTGTTTGATCAGCTGCCATTCCTTTAAATATCTTTGAAATAAGGATTGGCATCTTATTTTCTTTGCCACCTTTGATTGAAATGCCTAGGCCATTATTATCAGATTTCACTACCCTAACAATGCGTTTCTGGTTTGCCACTGATTCTGGTACATCAGCATTGTCCATCATTCCACCACCAGAGTCTAGATTGTTATTGTTGTTGTTGAGGGTTCCATTAAGAGCTGTTGAATTTTCATAGCTCTCATCTAAACTGATACTGAGATAATCGTCTTCAAGAGTTACGAAGACCCTGTACCATTGTCCACGTACATGAGTTTCTAAAATACCAGAGCGCCCGTAACCAACTGCCGCAATGTCAGCCATGGTATAAAGTTGAGTTTCACAGAGGCTGCCGTGATTTCAGAGCAATCATCCGTACCACATTCTTGAGGTGGATAAATTACAGTTGTTTGCATCCATCTTCGGTCTTCCGAGCACACAAATCACTAAAGAAAACAAAAATTGTCATTCTTTTGACAGTTCAGTCAGTGATATGAGGATGATTATTCCCACCAGAGGACTGCATACAAATCTTCTATTCACTGCACGTCATGATAACGGCATTTTAAACACACATCACTGTACCATAACCGGCGTTAAAATTTATCAGAGAAGAGTTTGTAGAAAATTTCTCAAAGAAGACGTGAGAGGCTATGTTTCACAGACGATTCGAAGTTTAGTTTTTCCGTTAGGCTTGGGATATTTTAGGTACTCGGCGACGAGGGCAGTCGACAAAAATTACGAGAAGCTGCATCGACGAAACACGCTTTGGCCTCCTACACTCATAAGCCCCAGGATCACGAGATTTTGACACGACATAAACAAATACAAGACTGCCCGAGCCCCTGCTCCTGCTTCGAGATCGTACTGCTACCCCTCCCCCTCGCTCCAAACGCGCTCTAGCGGCAGAAGACAGAACTTACTTCTCGATGCTCACGTTTTTTGTTTCGGCATTACCAACATGCCGACTGTGTCGTGTCGTCTGCTGGGCGCCAAGGATGGATGCAACGGAAGAGAATTTGTTTTGCACAGGGGTTGATTTCTTAGAACGAATTTGGAACCACAATTTTAAAATTAAAATGTGAAATCGCCAGTGAGTTATTGCAGGAGAACCCCCATTCCCATGACGTCGAGCACCTTTAGAAATTTGTGAACTAATGTGCAAGTGCAGCACCGCAGTAAACTTCAAGTATCTTTTTGAAAGCCCTCAGGCCTGGTAGGGAAGACAAGGATGGTAGTTAACTTATTAAGAGTATCAATAGGTTTTAGATGTCTTTTTATTGAGAACAATAACAGAAATTATACAGAATTTGAAGAGACTGAAGATATTGCTCACCTAGCCGCCAAACTGCAAACAAAATAAAACAAAGAATTAGAAACGAAAGCAGCAGAGGCAATGATCCTTTACAGACCCAAAATGTTCCTTGCTCAGAGACAAGTACAACTCAAAGTGACACTCGTATTAGCGTATATAAGTAGAGCATCACCGCAAAAGGAACATAAAAACTGGACAGCTAGGTTATCAGGCAAACGACACATCACATTTGTCAGATTGACTGGGGTTGTTTGGTAATCATCATGAAAAACCTTGCGTCAGAAAGGATAAAGGATAGCAGCAGCTTGGTTATCAGGCATACATTACATCAAAAATCTCAGATTGACTGGGGTTGTTTGGTAATCATCACGCAACCCTGCCAAGCTATCCAATTTAAAATTCTTTCAACATTTAAAATTGTGTTCGCAAAACCAGATTTCACAGAAAGAAAGATCTGAGGAAGAGCTGGAAATGCAAGTTGGTACTCTAGCACGCTTATGACTCATTCACCACCGATATCCAACCGGCAAGGTCAGTGGGCCCGATGTCCAAAAAGGACGCTGGACCCCGGAGGCGGATCTAAGGAACGTGCATGGACAATAGCAGCGAAAGAATCTCACCTGATGAAGGATGCTTCAGCGTCACCAACAGCAAAAAAAGAACACCTGAAACAAAGACTAATGTGGTTAGATGTTCACAAGAAAATTATGTTGAGCAGCTGCTTAGTGGCTAGTATCAGATTTGAGAGTTGTCATTCAAAGAAAAATATGACAGGGATAACTAAAAACATCATGTAAAGCCAATAATTGAAACAGCCAGCTCAGATAATTCGAATAACGTGTTTTGAAGTTTATATCATGAATTCTCTTAAGGTGTCCTAAGGATAATCATCAAGGCAAGCTGACCAAGCACAGAATTAAAAATTAGAGCTCAGATAGGGCAAGACAATCTTCACAAAGCGTTCTGATAAAGTTATTGGAGTATCAAGTCTTTGTATCATCAGTGCTCTCAAAATTAAAGGAATAGCACAGTTACTCACCATGTGGAACTTCAAGCCCAGTGATCTAGTTGAAATACAGAAGCCTCAAAGGCAGGTCAAAACACTAAAATGACCAGGGCACCTTCAACTCCAACGGTTATAACTACTGCTTGCTCATGGTCCACTCCCGGTTAAAACTGAAACAAAGCAACATGAAGAGTTTTAGTATGAAACATGACAAATACAGAGTAAGTGACGAAGCTGATAGCTTAGTCCTATAGATTGCCAACTGTATCAGATTTTTTCGAATAACGTATTTTAGTTGTTTTTATCATTATTTATCTTAAGGTGTCCTAAGTTAATCATCATATAACAGTCAGCATTAAATTTGCTCTATCAGACAAATGCCTCGTTTGTCTTCAAAGGGCCAAGTTGAATGGATTCTTGGACCCTTGGAATGTGGTAGAAGTTTTGGTCATCACTAAGAGCAATTAAAATAAAGTACATAAAAATAATCGAAAAGATCAAACTCCCTCAGACAAATGCCTCGTGTATCTTCACTAATGGACTTTGGTTAGGAAAAACTCCTTGGCCATGCCCCTCATGTTTGGTAGAATTTTATCATCACAAGGAGTAGATAGAAGCAAAAAACTCGGGAGGGTTACACCAACTGCGTCAGAATTATTTTGAATAACGTATTTTGGAAGATATTATCATTACGAATCTAAAGGTGTCCTAAGATGATTCATCATGTAACAGTTAGATCTAAGAATAAATATGACAGCTCCATCAGACAAATGCCTCGTTTGTCTTCAAAGGGCCAAGTAGAATGGTTTCTTGGACCCTTGGAATGTGGTAGAAGTTTTGGTCATCATAAAGAGCACAGTAAATCAACAACGCTTCAGTATCCTATGATCCTCAGAGTGGTATAAATTCGGATAAAATATCCGAAAAACCACATCGGACATATGCTTATAAACATCATGAGGTAATGGGTCAACAAATACTAAGTGCAAGCTTCAGAATCCTTGGACATCAAAGTGATATGCGATCGGATAGGATACCCGACCGCTCACATCAGACATATGCTTGTAAAGCATCACGAGCTAAAACACTGAAGTTCAGTTCAAATAAAGACGAGTAGGCACAGCTCAGAGGTTACGATAAGTGAAATCATGAACTCATCCGAACGAGACAAACCATCATTGCCGGTGCATATCACAAGAGCGCCACGTGGTAAATCAGATTCAACATAACCAATCGTCACAACTATCGGACTGGGGCGGTATAGAAAATCATCACGTTAACAAGCTTTAACAATCGGAACGGTTGCTCAGGAGGACTAAACCAATCGTCACTAAAAATCAGCCTGGGGCGGTAATTAATTGTCATCACAGCAATCGTCCGAACAATGAAAAAGCAAGGGGCAATTCGCATACAATTCAAAAACTCAGTAAAAGTCTGGATAGACCGAATGCGTGAGGCAAATAGCCACAGAGAGCACATGTATCTTTTCAAGTAAAATCGCAGAACTCCCACATTTGCAGAAGGATGTTCACGGATAACACTCACCTCAAAGTTTCGAAAGATGATGCCACGATGAGAGTTGCCGGAGAAGTGACCCGACCCGGGACCGGAATGCGGTTCTCCGCTTCTTCTTCTTCACCGGCTCAGCGACGGATCTTATAAGCCGTGAAAACAGTTGAAGTACTGCTTCGAGCAGTGAGAAAGACCGCCGCTAGAGCGCGCTTTGCAGCTCAAGGCGGGGTTTGCTCTGCAGCTCGGGGGAGACCGAAGAGAAGCGGATATGACAAACTGACAAACAAACAGACCCGCCGCAGGAGGCGGGATATTTTAAATTGTGCATTGTTCACAAAATGTCTCCGGCCGGGTTATCGTCTTCAAGTATAGAACTTCATTCTTTCAGAAGGGTTCACTGTAGCTGAATTTCGTCATTTTCAAAAAAAAAAAAAAAAAAAAAAAGAGAGAGAGAGAGAATCAATTTGGGACTAGAACTGTTCACAAGGTGTAAATTCAAACTTATCGTAACATCACGATGTAAGGGTGTATCCTGAAGTGTTCAGTATAACAAATGTGTTACAAATTGTTGTTGCCGGGTTTCCAGACCTAGAAATCTCTGGACATCATGTAAAGTGACCCTTGGAATCGTTAGGAAATCTCTCGAAACCTGGCGGGGTCGGGTGAGGTTTAGGGTTTAGGTGAGGGGCGGCTGGACGCGAAGGTAGGGGTTCAACTAGTCAACCAGTGCGCTCGATGCCATATGGAGAAGATAATGTTTCATTCCATCCTTAGACATAACATTCTGTTACCATTCGACCCATAAAAAAAATTAGCCCACAAGGCTAAGAAAGAGATAGGCCCCCTGACCAGACCAGGCCACAAAGCCCCTCAGTGGCTGGCTAACGGAGAAACAGTCAGGGGAGACAGTCTTTAAGGGACTGTCCAAAATCACACGAAAAGAATGAAAAACGCAGCCCTGGGCCCTGGACTTGGCAATGGGCTCCACCCTTCATCAGCGCTGCTCTGGTTAGAATAGATTGTAGTCCGCGATAAAGTTGATTTCAACTTTTATTTGCCGTCACGAGAGCTTCTCATTTTCATTCTTTTTGTTCCTCTCCCCAGCTCATTATCGATAAATGTGACCCCACCCAGCACGCCAACCACGCCCTTCCCCCGCGGCCACCGCGGCCCGGTGCCCCACCGACCTCACCGGGGACCCCACGGACCCCACCCAATATAGGACTCTAGTCCGCGCTAGTCCGCGCCGGCCCGAGCCCTCCCCCCAATAGCGCAGGTCAGTGCGGGAACCTTTAGTAAGGGGTTGGGGAGGCGGACGGGTTGGGCCGGGTATAGGACTCTGAGACTGGGAGCGGATAGCGGGTCACTCTGCGTGCGGGGTTGGTTGGCTGGCGGTGTGCGCCTCGGCGATAGGCAACCCATTTGACACCACCAATAAGCACGTTGGGGAGATAGCCCGTGGGGTAGGTGGGGCATTCGCCGTGTGATTGGAATTTCCGTTGACTCGACTCAACACGCATCGCCCCGGACCGCAGCATACTGTGTTCCTGAGAAGACGAGCTTACAAAAGTGGCAGGTGCAGCCCACGGTGCAGTCCGATTGTGTCAGGAATTTTCCGTCGTGCCATCATCGTGCCTTGAAAGGAAAAGAACTGTGTACTTACTAGGTCCTACACAAACACACGTTGGCAGCAAACACATTATTTTAAGCATGTGTTTTGTCTTTTCGAGAATAAATTCACACTGTTTGGATGTGTGACAAATTCTTCACACCTTTCGCAAGTAGGCGAACGCGACCATATTTACACTCTTGTACGAAGTGTAAAGGCCAATACGCCCCAGTGTTGCGCGTTTGCATACCCAAGGGGCTAATGTGCCATACGGGCCCTGGACACCTTGCGGCGATCCCCTTGTCCTGAACTCGTTACGATGTTGGCAGACACCTATGTCACATGGCAGACTGTGCCGAGTGTCAGAGCCACGACACAACAGTGTTGCGCATTGACATATCCTAAGGGCCATAGCCATGGCGCCTTACCCGGCGGGTGGGGCGAGTAGGCATGCCCGCCTACTGGTGTGTTTTAGCCCTGACACACGGTAAAGTACAGTAAATAGCTCTTCCATGTACACACATGACTCAAGTCGCACAGGTTCTAGGGTTGTGCAACAGATTTAAAACCAGTGTAGGGTGAGCAACGAGCAGTCCGAACTGGACAGACGAGTGAATTAATTCACACACCTGCAGGTGTGCGAATAATTGCACGTACTCTCACGAGACTCCATAGGATGGTAAATTGGCGTGCGGTGCTTCGGAGTCAAGGGCCCAGGGAGCAGGAGCACCGTAGTCGGGCAGGAGCATGAGTGGAAAGCCCACGGTAAGTCCACGGTAAGCCCGCGGAAAGCGTGCGGCAAGCCCACGCAAGCCCACGCAAGCCCACGACAAGCCCGCGCGGTAAGCCCAGCCCGTGGGCAAGCCCCGTGACGTGCCAATCCAGGCGCTTCTAATGGCCGAGCCGAACCGAACCGAGTGCGTGCGGCGCACAGTGCCGCGCGAGCCCCAGCCCAAGTGGTTAACGAACCATTTTCTAATTTTTCGCCGCTTTATTCTTTCCGCTCGAGTCCGCCGGCCCGCGCGGGTCGCTCCCCTTCCTACAGCAGACCGCGGGGCAGCGAGTGCCCGCCGAGGACTTCGCCGTCCCGCTTGTCGTCCTGCTCTCTGCTCCTGCCGCCCCTTGACGCCACCCGCTCCGCCCCCGCGCCGCCCCCGCGCTCACCCCCACACCCACCGCGCCTGGCGCCACCAATGCGGCAGGTCAGGGAGCGCAGCGCGCCGCCGCACCGCCAACCTGTTAGCTAACTCGCCCCCCTGGCCGAGGCCTCCCACCAACCCCGGGCCGCGGGCCCCGGGCCCA